GGGGGGGGGCAAAATATGGCAGAATACTGCATTTCACCCATTTACATAAAACTATGATTCCTTCCATAGGTTTGTTGATACTTAAAAAAAAAAACAAACAAACGTCTATTATAAAAAACAAAAAATACTGTCTGCTTTAAGCGTCCCTGTGTAAAGTTTGGTTTAAAATGTTAACATTCTATGGTCTCTATGGAAATACATAAGGTTTTAAGTGTGTAAGCCTAAATTTCCAACAAATTATGAACAAACACAAAACCAAGAAGTGTGCTAAGGCAATGGCTTGCAGGTTGCATTTAGTGTTGTTGGACATATCCATGTTTCATTTTCCATTTTTCTCCTCACTTTGGTAAAACGGGGATCAATTCTATAGATGCTCTAAAATCTCTGAGTGATGCTATGTAAATGAATACCAAACCCAAAAACACATCTATAAAAGTATACACATCATGGAATATAAAGAGCATGGAATTTATTTAATGCACATTAACCCTGCACTTAAAGGTACGACCTCTGATTTCCATGAAAGACAATACCACAGGAGAGGGAAAGTATCTTTGCTTAATGCCAAGCTGTATGGGGCACTCGACTGCCTACTGAAGATACAGTTTTTTAAGACCTATTACTTTTTTTCCCCCCATTTCATTATCCCAGGTTTTTACTATAGACATTTTCAAATACACACAAAGGAATAGTATACCAACCCCCACATAGTCATGACCTGGTTATCAACATTTTGCTAGTCTTGACTGTATATCTGCTTCCTTAAAGTAAATCCCAATACTAAAGTCATTTTTCAATGGTACGGACTTTCCTTACCTTCAGAAAATCTATGCGGCCTATGGCACCCAAAAATAGAACCATTCCTGGTTTAAGCACGAAAGTTCTTGGAACGATGGAATGTGTTGGCAAAACAATATTTACTTCTTTTTCTGTTAGAAGACTTAAAATCTGTAAAGCAGAGGGCAGATTTTTTAGAGAATTACTTTCAATGAACGTCTGATATATCATGCTTTACCTGTAGGATAAAAAGTTATATATTCCAGGCTTCACAAGAAATCAAAGTATGTATTTTAGAATTTTCTGCACATAAAATTCATATATTCTTTCTAAATGAATCAATTTATAGATGGCTTTACTCTTGTTTTACAACTTAATCTTGAGTAATGGCAAAATAACTTTACAGGAATATGAAACAGCAGCATCCTCCGAATTCTGTCAAATTTGCTGTGAACTGAAAACACTGATGATTCAATCCCAGGAGAAAAAATATGTTCTCTCGTCAAGCCTTCTAGGGAGCAGTAGTTTTCAGATAAAGGTAAGGTAAGGTAACGTGCTATATTCTGTCCTAGTGGCAGCTATGCATGCATTAAATGAAAATGATCACCCCGTTCTTGGAGCAGGCAAAGAGCTTGAAGAAGCTTTTCTAAATTCCAGTCTTTGGTTTCCTTATTTCCTCCAAATACTCAGCAAAAAAAATGAGAGAAAGTTATGAATCCTGTGGCTTCTAAGGATGAAGAGTTCTTAAATAGACTAGAGAAAATGGAAAAGAAAAGCCAGGCGGTACAAGATTCTTGTAAGACTTAGGGAATCAAAATCTGATTTAAAAATTTTTGAGAAAGTAAAAAAATGGCCAGAAGTCTTTTGTGAACTTGCTTCTTAAGAAAAATAACAAGGAGATAACAAAATATGTGATATCTAGGGAGACTCACAAGAGAATATGTAAGGGGGCTGTGAGTAGTTTTCTTCAGTATTTGTGCTTGAAAAAGCACATTAAAAGCCACGTGCAGTAAAGAAATATTTTAACCCTTTTAGCAGAGACCCTAATACTTCACAATAGAGTTCCTTGGTTCAGTTTGGGAAACACTGGTTCAAGGCATTAAATAAATATATCAATAAACGGACAGAAAATCAACTGCCTGAGAGAACTCTTATATCTAAAAACTTGAGGGTCTCACTGCAAATTAGCAAATCTGAATTTGCGAGTTAACAAAGTCTTGCCTTTCTGACTAATTGACAAGAGGATATACATGACTGAAGTAACTGCTATCTCTGACCTAACTGAGCCTAAAACTGAAGAATGAGTTGGTGAAGTTAAAGTGATAGAACATTACTAGGAAGCACTACAGTTACTCTGAAGTTCTGGATTGCTAAGGAAGTAAAAACTGGACACAATTATTCTAGGAGAGAAAAAAGAAAAGTTAAAAGGTACATCAAATTCTGAGAAGGAAACAAGTGATTCTGATGAGGCAAAGGAAGGAAAAGTATCTAAGAATCTAATGTTGCTTCATAGGGATATACAGAGATAACTAGGTGAATTAGAACCTGGTCACTAACCATATTCAAAGGAAGCTGATTAGTGGATCTGTTGAAAGGCAGTATCCTGGATACACACTTGATTCAGTCAGTGACTTGGATAATGATCAAAACTGCAAATGAGGGCTTCTCTGGTGGCACAGTGGTTAAGAATCCACCTGCCAACGCAGGGGACACAGGTTCAAGCCCTGGTCCGGGAAGATCCCACATGCTGTGGAGCAACTAAGCCCGTGTGCCACAACTACTGAAGCCCACGTGCCTAGAGCCCGTGCTCTGCAGCAAGAGAAGCCACCGCAATGAGAAGCCCACACACCACAACGAAGAGTAGCCCCTGCTTGCCACAACTAGAGAAAGCCCACATGCAGCAATGAGGACCCAGCCCAGCCAAAAATAAATTAAGTAAATAAATTTAAAAAACAAAAAAACCCAAAAAAACTGCAAATGAATAAAAGGTTCTGAGATATAACAAATATGTAGGATATAGGCTGAATTTAAGATAAAATAAAAGTTGCCCGGGAGATCCTGCAACTGGACTAAAAAGATATACAAGGGCAAGATAGGTAGAGTTGATCCTATTCTAAATTAGGTTCATCTGAGGGCACTTACATAAGAAAGTTAGTTCTTTGTGTCATACTTTCAGGAACAAAAACAAATTAGAATTCGTTCTGGAAAGGGTCCTTTGTTCATAGTCTGTTCTCAGAATAGCTATAGGAAATAAAGACCAACCATCTGGATTATGTCAGCACAGTAAGTGCTCCATGTTTGTTGGCTGAACTAATGAAAGAGAAGAAAAGGGTAGAGTGAGGAAGAGAGAGGATATTACACTCTAAAACATTTCAATGTCTGGCAAAGGGAACTAGACATTATATTTGTTCTATACACCTTTGGGGAGCAATAGGTACAAATTACAGGGACACTGCTCGGCTCAATATAAAGAGCAGGGTTACCTTGGGAGGTGAGGTGACACTGCTTCAGCTGATGGTGAGTCACTCCTTACTTCAATTCAAGGTGGATGCACCTTCTGGTGAACATGTTATAGAGGGAACTCAAGCATGGAACAGGTGGCTGGA